AAAAAGGCAATTAGAAAAGTACTAAAATAAAATACATGGCAAGCTAAGCGACATACTGCAGTTTACAGGCTCAACTGCAAAATGTATTTTACCTAAAAGAAAGCCCATCCAAAAAAATCTGTATCACTTCAAGTGCACAGGCCTTCTTCTGATAATAACTGCACCCTGAATAATAATAATAATAATAACAATAATAATAATAATAATGATGATGACGATGATGATGATAGGAACATGTTAATAAGAAGGTATACTCACATGTATATAATCCAGCATTTAAGTTCTTGGCAGCAAATCAACCAACCTTGGAATCACTCATATCTACAAGGAAATGTCTGCTCTCCTCTCTGAGAAGTATCCAGTACTGGGAGGCATTTAACACATGCATATTTAAATATCCAAATGAGTAAGCTGACAAAGGTCACCTTGGTTTGTAAATTATGTAACCATGAAATTAGTTAAGTTAAATGTTATTTGTTTAATAATTGGAGGTACAGAAACCCAGAAATATATAATTTCACACACACACACACACACACACACAATTACAGGAGATAATCAATTAAAGGAAGAACCATTATGCTTTGTATGGAGTAAGGCCACCACCAGCCTTCGGTGCTCCTTGCCAAGTCTGAAACTCCGTCGAGGGAATGAACACCATTGCTCCACAAAATATTCCCTAACTTGTATACAACATTTATCTAATCAAGTAAACTCCTTGAGATTACTATCCCTGCGAGAAAGACCTAAGTACAGCGGATAGAATGAAAAACAAACATAACCAGAAAACAAAATGACTTATAGCATCAGACAGTAAAAGACATCACTGAAGGTAAAAGTTTATGTTATTATATTTGGTGTTGGTGGTGAAGAGAATTGTCCAAATATTTTGTGAGTGAGACTGTTGGAGATTAGGGGCCTCATTTAGAACCGTTGCCACCAAACAGAGCCTGAAAGAGGGGTCAGTCAATTGCCAAGCAAAAGTTGGGATACATAAAAACAAACTTGACAGGAGAATGTTCATACCTATACAGAAACGATGACCCATGTGTAGAAATATTTTTGATCTGAATTGAAGCCAGATTGTGGAAATTAAATATGAAAGGAATCATTACATGTATAATGATGCCTTTTACACATTTCAATTTACATAATATCACAAATTACTTACAGATCTTCTTTGTCATAAACATTCAAACCAGCAGTGTTATTTGTGCTTGTGAGCCTTAACTATTCAAGAAGCACCTTTCAATTCAAAGCAAATTAAATTATGCTGAATATTTTCAGTGCAAATTCACAGTCACATTCTCCCAACCCTGGAGTGCAGAAGTGAGGGCTGGACTATATGCTACTGACAACTGAAGTCAGCTGTGGAGTACCCCTCAGCTGTTGCTAGGTTGATGCAAGGATGTGGCAGATGGAAGGGTTCAGGAATGTATGGCTTGTCTTTTCCCAATATTAAGCATGACTATACCATTTTCACCTCAACCACTTTAACTCATCAACCTAGGCTAATGGATGAAATGATCATCATTGGTTGTAGAAATGCAAGATAACTTAAATAGAATTAAAGTTTTGTGTTAAAAATTGCTGCAGTGAACATAACCGTGGAATCAGTGCTCAGTGTTCTAATGGAAATACGGATCAGAGGGAATTCAAAATGTATTGATACAGAACAGAAAAGCAGTTTGTTGAAAAAGTTATGTTGAAATACATAAGTTCAAATAATAATTAAATATCTTTATTAAAGGATCTGAACACAATAGAATAGGAAAACTAAATAAGTTAAAGACAACTGTCAAGAAAAACCTCATTGAAACTCCTTGACTTGTGAAGTAAGTGTTTGCAATAATAATTTCTAATTTGGAAACTCTAAATTGCCAATGCACTGGTAAATTTACTTTAATGTGCTAAATATACTAGTGTTTAGTTTGGATTTTTTCAAACTTATTCAACTTTGATTCAATGTATTCTGTGAGAATAAATCCGATATCTTCTTTAATTTAACATAAATATTGATGCAATTTATTTAAACCATAATTCCCGACAATCTACAATATGGAGACCATACCTTTGAACTGAATTGAATTTGAATTGAAATCTTTATTTCGAACAACAAGAGAAAGTATAAAAAAATTAAACAATGTTTTTAAAAAAGGTGAAAAAAACAACAGATGAGCAGCAAACAAAGTACCCTTCTTTCCTGTGTTAACATACTTCTATCACATGTGCGAAAAGGAGTAGGAAGAAGTAAAACATATGTACTCCTACCCTTTTAATTCTTACATTCCTTCAATTAACAATTTTTAAATTATTATCATTATTATTATGTTTTATATACATTTATATATATATATATATATTTTTTTTATGTACACAATATTAAAGTGACCACTGACAAGTATTTATTTATCTAACCTCGATTGTGTACTTATTCAAACAGCAAAAAATAACAACAAAAAACAAACAAAAAACATAAACAAAGGACTACTACAGTGCTTCTCGATACCTCTTGAAAATAATTTCGTTGTACATTGTTTTGAAAAGGAATATGTTTGGGCATTACTTTAGGTTCTCATTTAGTTTATTCCACAATTTAACTCCGCAAATTGATAAATATAATCTTTTCCTTGTTGTTCTAAATCTATTAGTCAAGATAATTTGTCTCCTGGTACATCACACTCTTACAGCATTTCCAGACAAAGAACCATGCACTTCACCCAAAATCATGTAAAGGAACCCCTGATTTCACTGGAGAGATTTCTTCTAATTCCGGGGGCCTCAATTACTCATTAGAAAACCATGAGCAAAAATGTACAAAAATACATATACACAGTAACCAAAAAACATCATGGTTAATATAATGAATGATATAAATAATAAAAATACTTCATACTATTTTACTTTCATAGTTGTTACACAGCTAGCAAGATTAGAAAATATTTCTACATTTGAGTAATGAAAAATTGTCAGCTATGAGTTTCTAATTTCCTCCACTGGTCAGTGTCCCTTCAAATGCAAAGTTAAAATGCAAAACTAATAAGTACTTTTCCTGCATCCCAGGGAACTAAAGTACAAATACAGAAGATAAGCAAGGCAATCTGATTTGCAAATGTCTATTTTAACTTTACAGAACATTGCACATTACAAGGTTTTGGTGGCTGGAGAACCAGAGGAAGTGATTTGGCTGTGATGAGCTCCTTCACAAATGATGACCTTCATCAACCTTTGGTTGACTTACTTGGCAGTTTAAAGGCCCTATTAAATTATCTATAGCACATGGTCTAAATCATTTTTACGACCCGACCCACACGATCTGCGGATTATCCGTTGGCACCATGGCTATATCTGCAAGCCATGCATCATACTAGCCCGCCTATGCAGGTGCAACTTACTATCTTACCCTTTACATATCAGGGAAATACTGTTTGATTGACTTTTGTTGGTCAATGGCGCAATCACTTTCTGCTGCCTCAAGATAGGACAGTTGGTTGTACATTTGCTATTTATACAACGAAAATTAAAACTTAAAATTAGAACTGCATCTGTCAGAAACCAGCAGTGAAACTTGCACTGCGTTGTGTGGTACTTTGCGCCTGGTGTACGATAGGGCACTTTATCTCCTTCACAAAATGGGGAAGAGGACAGCCAGAAAACCTTAGCCTGAAAGGAAGATTTCATCTTACACAATGGATCATCGGCAGTTGTGAAGTCCTGCAAGCTATTCTTGAGAAGGACCACTCACCTTGAGCTTCTAAAAATGTGAGTAAGCTCAATTTAGATTGAGCCTTAGGGCTCCAATGGTGAGTGGAAAACAACACGTTCAACGTCTGCATGGTCTGCAAAATATTGATGCAAACTTGATGGGGGATTTTATCTGTTGTCAGCTCAGTGCATGATCGCTTAGGGTATATTGCACCAATTACTCAGCCAAGCACTTTTTTTACGAGAGTTGTGAAGAAAGAACTATGGCTGGGATGATGAAATTCCACAAATCCTAAGACAGCAAGGGATCAGTTGGTAGAATAACCTGAACGGGCTTTACATGTTCTGCGGGAACAGGTGTTTAAAACTATATGACTTTGGACCACCTGTCCATGCTCGGTTACACTATTTCGCTGATGCCTGTGAAGGAGGGTAAGGCACGTAACATACCTGAGGTTACAGAATGAACTAGGTAATGAGAAATGAGAGCTTTTCTGTCAGAATTTTCTGTCAGTATGTACTAATGTTAATTAGGGTTGTGTCACTGATTATTTATAGGCAACTATGGGCGTTAAAAGGGTAGGACAAGAACCTTGCTCATGTGCACCAACTTTCGAGTTGACTGAGATTTATAAAGTGATATTGCTGTGGGACGTGTGTGCACACTTATGAATCAGAATATTTTTGTGAGTAAGCACTCTCTGTGTTTAGTCTGTACGCAACTAATCCTATGTATAGTGTTACAAACAAAGACCCAGAACTGCAATGACAACTGACACCTAATCATTCTGCAAAAAATCAGCACATCTCCATGTGATTCTAAAACACAGGAGAATGACACAGACTCTTGCATCAGTGCCATTTGTGGACCTGACCTGTATGTAGTATAAAATTAAGTCTGACTAAGTATGAGTACATAAATTTACATTTTTCAGAACTTTTAAATTTTTCAGGTCAACATTTCTATATTATACATTCTTTATTCTAATATTCTGAGATATGGATTTTTGATTACCATGAGCTGTAAAACGGAATAATCTAGATTAAAACAAAAATCTAGTTTAACTTCACTTCACTGTAATGAATCTAGAATATATGACACACAGCTGTCGCAGCTGCGACAGCGTGTGACATGTATGTGTATTAACAAACAAAATCACATTATATTGGTGTATACTGAAACTGTAAATAAACAATGTTTGTTTCCTATTTTTCGGCTGACTTAGTGGGGAGATACACATGCAGAGTTCTTGATGTGTGTGTGGGCGTGTCTGCACTGCACTGTTCCACTGTTCCACTGCACAGTGGAACAGTGAGTTACTGATTTCATTCATAAAATGTTAATTCTGAGTTTCTGTACAAAGTGTTGGGCAAACTGTATTCTGTGAATGAATGTATTTTATGTTTTATGGTAAATTTAAAAATTTCACCTTGAGTTTATGCACTCAATGCATTATGTGGCTAAGTGAATGTATTTGTTTTTTATTTTTCTCTGTTTAGAAAGGCCACTACTGTTGTCTAGTCTAGAGTGGTGTTATCTAACCTAGATGTCCAGATTTTGATGTTGTACAGATTTTGACTGTTTTACAGCTTTGGTTGTTGAGAATTTAGGTTCCTGTCTAGAAAGAAGTAACAGAAGTCTTTATATTATTAACGCTGTTCTCAATGGAGTCCAGTCGGTGAATAAAAACCCATAAAATTTATTATGTGTTTGGCCTCATCATTCCTGGTCTGGCCACATACATATAATTTAAATGTTTAGTTAGAATATGTGTAGATATAAACATAAGACAGAAATAATAATTATTGAATAACAAGATTATTATTAATAATAATTACAGCCAAATAAATTTATGAAACTGAAAAAGAAAAAACGAATTTAATCCCATTCTGTGTTCACAAATCAATTTATTTTAAATAATCTACTCGCTTTATAATTAACAAAAAAGCGGAACACAAATGTCAAAAAAAAAGAAAAAAAAATTAAATAACAACAATAATAAAGAAACTGAAAATAAACACTAACCCCAGAAAACACTTGATTATCCATCCCCTTCTTCCTCCCTGTAACCCGTGAAAACCATATGCTTATATTTAATTTCAAACTGCTTTATGTTTGGCTTTAGTTCCACATTTGAGACAGTTCCATAGTTTTACTACATTTTTGACGTGCAAAAACTTTTCCAGTTTGTCCGTGTACTGATTGTTCTGAAATTGAGTTTACCCCCTAAATCATAACCTCCCGCTCTATTCCTGAATAAGTTTTGAATATTTCCTTAAAACTAAACCTCAGATTTGATTTCCTTGATTGATTCTATTATTTCCATTGATGTAGATCTTGTTTATCTGAATCCATATTGACTGTCTCTGAGAAATTAATGCTTTTCTAAGAATGTACAGTATATCATCTTTTGTTAAAATAATACTCTTTCTTGCATGACCTTAAAAAATGAGTTAACTTATTTTTTATATTCTTTTATTTATTTTCTGTCTCTTGTTGTTCATCTTATGAAATCACTAAAAAGTGTATTCTTCGTTCGTGTGCCATTTAAACAGCCATGTGCATAAAGTTGTCCCTTTTTGTGAACTGACCAATCACTGCTGAGAGCAACATGTTCCCCTTCTTCTATTTTACATCTGTTTTACTAGCCATTGTTGTAATATAAATATTGTGTGTGTGGAGGGGGTGGAGGAGAGGTGGTTTACCAGCTGATACACAAACCAACATGTGAATGGGGAGTACATTTTTTTCCTCCTCAAGCACAGTCTGCAGGCCAGTATAAAAAAACAGACTTTAAAACAGAAAAGTTGTGCTAATGAAGACTCCAAATTACATTTACAGAGATGTTCTGTACTGTTGCTATATGGTTTTTACTGTAGTTTCACAGTAAAGGGATGATAATTGAGTCTAGAAGAACAAGATTTAAAAGGAAAATGAATTTAGAGAAAGGCAAATACATAAATGACTTACATACGTCATTTTGTTATACTATAGACCTACAGCCTTAGGCCCTTCTACATCCTGACAGAATTGCTGCACCCCCAGTCCCCTACACAAAAAAAAAGCAAAAGAAAACAAAATGCAACGCAGCTTTTTTTAGCCATTAAAGGCATCAAGTTTAAGAATGCACAAATAATCAGAACAAATGTAACACAATATTCAACAGATCGCAACAGTGTGCACTCACATTATGAGCTCCTGATCTGTTCCTTTTCGGTCTCCCCCATCTTACCTTGCTATGACTCCAGCTTTCTTCTCCCGGTCTCACTTCAACGCATCTCTCTTTTTCTCTCGCCTCCAGTTCTTGACCCTCTGTCCCTCTCCTCTTTCATGACTAATAACTTTAGATGTCCCACAATTTCCCTGATTTTAACCAGTTATGCATATTTACATGAATTAAGCTATGCTAGCTAGTTATGTAAAGACAAGCTGGCCAGCAAGAACTGAATAGCATTTTGTTTACATTTATTTATTTATTTATTAAAATGCATGTTTTTTTTAAATCTAATGTTTTTGTTGTGGTTGGGGACAGAGTGGACCCAAACGGAACAGGCTTGATTGAGGGACTGGAGGTGAGGGAGAGGCGGACGCCAGGGAAACACGGGCAAGGGGAACTGAGGAGACTGAGACAAGGGAGCCAGGGGCACTGGGGACCAGCCCAGCTGACGGAACGGAGGACGGAGGTGAGTGGACCTGGAGGGGAGACAGGCAGACAGACAGGGTTAGACGCAGTGGGTACAAAGCACAGGGAAACAGAAATGGCGCAGGATACTCAGGGGCTAGAACGATGAGGTAGCACCAGGTTAGGAGCAACGACGATCAAGCAGGGGTTGACTGGAGGTCATTTCAGATGCCTTTTGAAAAGACTACAATTGCGGGGGTGGGGAATCCCTGATAGACAAAAATTTGCTGTAGACAAAAAAACTAGATTTAGAACACAAAAATACTAGAAATTAACAGAGTTTACATGACCACTGACTACAGATAAAGATTCAATCATCATTCCTTTTTAGGATTGTTGTGATCATTTTAGTTTAAAGAGTAACTTAACAACCCTTAAAAATTTTTTGCTGACCTTCAGTTGTTTTGCTGAAAAAGAAACAAAACATTCAAACAGAGAGGGTAGTTAAAAACACTTTTCACAGTATATTTCATGATAGATTAGTTCAGTCAGGACAACTTTCATCAAACACTGATTTTGCGGCATTGTAGTTAGATTAGGCAGTATGGCTCTGTTTTAGGATCTCCCTGCCCATCCACGCACCTATGTGCGCCCTTCCACATGTATATGTAGAAAGCATAAGGCAGGGAGAGCACACCTCTCTGCCCTTCCACGTGCCTCCATGGAAAAGCCATAAGATAGGGAGAGCACCTCCCTGCCCATCCATGAGCTTACATGGAGAGCCCGAGGACAGCCGCAGTAAAGAACCCCACTACAGAACAGAGCAAGCATATGTGATTTACACGTTTAATCAGATACTAGATGGGCACAGAAGCATGGTGTTAAACGGGCCTGGGGCTGAAGACCGAACTGTTTATTATCAGGTTGCAGCCTCTGCTTTTCTGTGCCGTCGTTTTGCACATAACACACACATGCGGCCTCACACGCACAAACAATCGCAGAGATAGGCCATGGACATGTTGAAGGGAAGGTAACTCTAAAGTACTTGAGTTGACGACATCTACCTTTGTTACTTTAGTATGTTCAATAAAACCTCAAGAGTAAAGACAACTTTGTCAATACATCCATTAAACAAGCATAAGATGTAGAAGGGGTTATTTGATCTGCTCTGTCTATGTCTCTCATCCTCAATGTTATTAAAAGAACACTGTGCTAATTCATTCCCCGATATGCTTCCGATAATGAGATATGCCCGATCAGCCAGTACTCATCGGAACGATAATTATTGTTCATTTGTGCCTTTAAAGGCCTGTGCATTTTGTTACTTGACTAGAAGGGAATGTGCAATCTCTAAATATAGTAGCATGCCATATCTACCGTCATGGCTGCTGTGACTCAATGTGTAACCACTGGGTACTACGTAGCAATCCGAGTGTTAATGTGATTCCACTATGATTGTATGTGTAGATGGAAGTTACATTTTATCACGCTGATATGTGTTGTGTGACTCTATTGTCAGGCCACCGCAAGCCTCAAGAACAGCTTCAGTGCTCCTTGCCAAGTCTGTGGAACTCTTGGAGGGATGAACACCATTACTCCTTGAAATATTCCCTTACTTATATACCACATTAATTTAATCAGGTACTCCACTGAGATGAAAAAAAAAATCTCTGGGAGAGAGACCTTAGTCCAGCAGATAGAATGAAAAACAAACAGTGTAAATGTGTGTTATAGCTTCGTGTTAAAGGGATGTTTGTTAATTAGCAATAACAGACAGCCCTAATTTAAATCAGAATCACAAACAATTTTTTGCCAAGTTTCCACTTAAAAGGACATATCCTAATAGGCATGGTAAGTGAAAAGAAAAAGTACTGCTGCTTTTCAGCTGGCACATATTTGAATATGCAAATCAGTAATCTGACAAAGGTCACATTGATTGGCATCTGATATTAAATTTTGGGAATTGATAAGTAGAATGTTTTGTCTTTTCTGTTGTCTAAGATCAAAGGACTCTAATCTAGAGCAATATTTCATTTAAAGATTTGAATTTTACTTGAACAAAAACATGTGAACTTACAGAGCAAGCAAAGCAGCAGTGGCAGTTCTAGACCAATTTTATTGAGGAGGCCAGATTGGGGCCAGTTGTTTTGTCAGAGGGGCCCATTCAAACTGGGACAAAACAGACAAGGGCAATGTTCAAGCATTCAAAATATCTTGTTTGGAATATAGTGTAATGTTTTAGTATGTTTCAGTAACTTAGTTATTTGTTTGTGTAACAGGATCCTTTCAGCAGCTTAGAGTTTTATTAAATTGCATTATTCAAAATAAAAGCATTCCTGTTAACTTTAGCTCCAGTTACAGTTCATTCTTTGATGCAACACTTCTTTATAAGGCTTAATGAACAGTATAAGCTCTAGTGTAATAGACATGCCCTGAATCCCAGTTTGTATTTTGTATCCCAACATAACTTTTGCTAGGAAACAACAAACGTCTTCATATTCACCCCTGTTATTACTCATGATGTAAAGTATACACAAAATTAAATACTTGATGGTAGGCCATCATCTGTGCATTATCAACACAGGCAGTGGACCAAACCACTGTGAGGCAATAGAGGGGGGACTCAAAATGTTTCTAAACTTAAAACTCATTTTTATTGCCAAGTTTGCATTTGTATTGTTTTACTACTAACACAATTATTCTAAGTATCATTATATTATTTTTTTTATTTAACCAGGGGAAAAAACCCATTGAGATAAAATCTCTTTTTCAAGGACGCCCTGGCCAAGAAAGGGAGCAGGACAGCAAGTCTAACAGTAACATAAAACAGCAGTAAAAAATACAATCGAAACGTTTACCCTTTTAGCTACAAAAGCAACAGACTATCTAACCCGTACATTAAAAATGAAATCAGTAGTTATAATACATCAATGTAATGCCTGCTTATTCAAAAACAGTTACATTCATCTTTAAAACCCTCTGTAATCAAGGATTTGAACTTCCCAAAACCTACCAGTACCTCCAGCCGGAGGGTCCTTTGCAAGGAGTTCCGGGTTAATGGTGGTTAAGGGTGGTGGTAGTGAAAGTAATATAGTAATGTAACTAGTTACTTTTATCAATCCAGTAGTAAGTAAAGTAATATTATTACTTTAAGTAATAAGTAACTAGTAAGCTACTAGAATTTCTGAGTAACTTGCCCAGCACTGTTAGTATTATGTTTATATATAGATAATACATACATAATCTCAGGTGTATTGTGAATATTATATTTAAGTTACCAGCAGGGCTTGACATTAAGACCCGCCAACCCGCCAAATTAGATGCTAGTGGATTTCAGCAGTGGCGGGTAACACAGTCACTCCCACTAGCCCCTTTGGCGTGTTGAAAAATTGTAGTCTTTTCAAAAGGCATCTGAAATGACAAACGAATTGCAATTTGACACCACAACACTACAACTCCCATGAGTTGTCTACTACCAATGTTTGCTCATTGGTCCATTCATGAAGCCTATTGTCTTGACTGACAACACTGTAGCCTAAACAACAAGACGCTGTGGAGATTAAAACTGTCAAACTGGCCGCTGTTCCGAGGGCTGTTTTAGCCTACCATTAATTATCAACTAAACCAGCAGCAATGATATAGCGAGCTTTTTTAATAGCGCCAAATATGACATCCAGACTTTTGTCAAATGAATCTGTCACAGGGCAGCCACAGTCCCTCAGACCTGTAGACCGTCAGCCTCCCGTCTGCTTGTAACCTGATGGTATGATCTCTGTCATCACACGCGACTGGTCGCATGCACACACACATCAACACAGTGGTCAGTTCATGACATATAGGAAAGCAGGAGATGTGTGACAAACATAAGTCCAGTCAGAGCTCTGAGGAAATGCAGATGCAAAACAAACACTCAAGTGCTCAAAAATGATAGAGGCCTACAGAAAGTTTTAATCCTGTTGCCTTAATTGTGGATAGACAGAATAATTGCAGATTATTTTTCTACTCTGTATTACTGTATTTACTGCTGTTAAAACAAACAGTGTTTCTGATGATTTTTTTCAGTTTAGTTTTTACCTTTTCAATTAATCTTTTACAACCATGCAGCACGACCCCTCCGTCTTCCTGCTTCCTTCTCCTGCAAGAGGCCGCAGGCAGGGAGGCTGATTGGGCTGGGCAATCACCTGTACAGCTCTACCTTCAGAGCTTAGGACTGATCAGTCTTTTGCTCTCTCCTCCTAGGCCGGCGTCTTATTGGGTTTATCCTGAACTATGTTAAACTATGTTGTTGCGAAGTGTTCTGACCAGTAAAGCTCAAGGAGCCTACTAGGCTTTGAGCCTAGCTGATAGCAAGGTGCATGGTCTATGAACTGGTGCCAGAGGCATACCGTCAGCGCTTTTGTTTTAGGAAGAAGCAAGATAATCACACTTACACTGAGTCTGCCCGTGATTTGGCCTCTCAATTTCATCGTTGGTGTTCATCATCTGAGGTTAGCACATTTGAGGATCTTTATGATTTGATTATTCTAGAGCAATTTAAGGATTCTGTGCCAGAGCGTTTAGCAACATTCATTAATGAACATAAAGTGACAACGCCTTATAAGGCAGCAGTTCTGGCATATGAATATATGCTAACCCATAAAAGTTATTTCGATGTTAAGGAGGATGTTTGACGTAAGACTGATACTCTAGGCCTTTGAGACCAAAGATGGTCACAAGCCAGCTCTTAGCCCGTGACAAAAAGGTGAGACACAACAGGTTTGCTTGCTAAAGAAATGATTTATTATACCAGTAACAGAAAAGTCAAATCATCAAAAATCAGAATCAGAATTAGTTTTATTGCCAGGTATGTGTACACATACGAGGAATTTGACTTGATTGTACATTGCTCACGATGTGCTTACTTATACAATAATAATATAATAAAATAAAATCAGTATGATCAATATGACATAGTATGAGCAGCACTGAAATAGTGAATGGTGAATAAATAAATAATAAGTGGAAACCAGTAAACAGGTGCTGATTAGAGACAGAGTTACTGGGTTATTGCACAGGAATTGTTCCTGACACTGTGAGTGTGATATGTGGTGTGGCAAAGTATGACTATTAGTTATGTCAGCAGTGAATGGATGAGTGAGATGTGTGTGAGTGTGTGTTTTGTCAGGATAAACCAAAAGAAAAACACAGGACAAACCCGATAAGACGCCGGCCTAGGAGGAGAGAGCAAAAGACTGACCAGTCCTGGCTAAATAAGCTCTGAAGGTAGAGCTATACAGGTGATTGCCCAGCCCAATCAGCCTCCCTGCCTGCAGTCTCTTGCAGGAGAAGGAAGCAGGGAGAGGGAGGGGTCGTAACAGTATATATAATAAGAAGCTATGCTTTTTTGTGTTTATCTTAATAGACTACATGTTCTCAAAAAAAGGAGCTTTACACGCAACTTTATCAGAGCTAATGATAATATTAGTCCATTTTAGCATGCCAATTTAAGCATGCCATTGTCAACTTTGATCATATAAAACGTAATTTTCCAACAACAAAAAATGTGGCTAGTGAAAATGCTGCATAGCTAGTAACTTTGGAAGACCACCAAAAAAGTTAATCAAGCCCTGGTTCCCAGTGTTGGGAAGTAACTAGTCACATGTATTTAGTTATGTAATTTAATTACAATTTAACTGTAACTAATATATTACATTTACTGGGCAAAATGTGTATTTAAATCGGTTACTTTTGAAAATGTTCATGATAACATTGGGTGTTACATTTGAATATTTTCTGTAAAAAGCTCGGCTATATTTGTGTCGCTCTCAAGAAGAAGCACATATTTGCGCAATGGCATCCTGGCTCTGGCTAAATCTACATCTGTCCACTGCAGAGGCACTATCCACCTGATACTAGTATAAATAAGTGTATTAGTATAATATTATGACAATAAAGACAAAGTTTACTGTTTTAAATATATTTATAGGTTACACTTTATTTGCCTTATGTTTTGGGCGAATTAGAAATCCCGGCGGTACGCACTTTTTAGGTCCTAAAAAGAGGACATGTCAGGGGAGGAGAAGGACGTTTGGTCTATTGTAATTTTGTGTCCATTTATTTATTAATTAAAAGTGTTTTTAATTTTAAGTTAACATTTTACAAATTTTTAAATGTCCTGTTTTTATTTCATAGGCAGCTCAAGTACCCCAAGAGATGCACGCACCACACTTTGGGAATTCCTGATAGACTACCAGTTGTAGACAAAAAACTAGATTTAGAACACAAGCACACCAGAAATTAATAGTTTATATAATCACTCACTAGATAAAAGATTAAATCATAATTCCTTTTTAGGATTGTTGTAGTTATCCTAATTTAAAGAGTAACTTGACAACCCTTGAAAATCAAGTCTTTGCTGACCTGGAACAGGCTCAAAACATTCAACCGCAGAGGGTAGTTAAACATTGCACTCAGTGAAGTGAATTTCATGATAGATTATGTGATCTACAAGATATGGTTAATAAAGTAATCTGGCTACATTCATTGTGGTTACATGCACACTGCACTTGCAGTTTGTTGAAAACATCAATTACAAAGGACATCTTTTCCGTTGTCTTCATCAGTCTTTGTCTTTCTCTCTGTCTGTTTTTTGGGTTGAATCTTCCACCGCAGGTTGAAGTCAGTCAGCGAAGACTTGTCCGTCAGCCCTGCACCTAGCTGAGAGGGAATCAAAGTTTTTTCAGAAGACCATTGTCAAAAAACAACAATAGCGTTTTGGGAATGTAGCATCTGAAACACATTGTGTGTTAAACATCATTAATTTCAAGTGTTATTTTTGCTAATGGCACATAGCTTAACTTGAGGGATGGGAGTTATCAGAGTAAACAGCCAAAGCTGTTTTGATATGTCAGGCATGAGATCTGATTCATCAATTTATCATAATTCACTCTGGAACCACAGAAGGCTTTATACAACTACATGTACAGCAGTACTCCCCGAGACCTGTAAACTACTTTGATGTGTAAAAGTTCCTCTTTAAGAACTGATAGAGAGAGATAACATTGGAGGAAGTTTCACCTGTTGAAGGATCTGGGCGTTAATAGCTGGATCTGATAGGTCAGCATCAGTTTGAATCTTTATCCTCACCACAGTTGTCTTCACTTTTAGGGCTGGACAGTCCAACAAACACACCACAAATCAATGAACAATATATAATTTCATTGAAGAAACCTGAGTATTTATGAGATCTATGTATATTTTCACCTCCATAGCAGAAGAATGAAAGCTCGCTGTCACATCTCGAAACATTCCAATAGTGGCCTGACGTTTCAGCCGCGCAGTACAGATCACCACCAATGTTATTCGGCTGTCCAATTCCCCAGTTTGTGAAAGGGCTGCTGCTGATGTCGGACCACCTCCATGGTGTCCGGTACAAGCCAATCCACACTCCAGCAAACCCTAACCCTACTGAAAACACTTGTGTGTTTTCCTGAGCATTCTCAATCATGGCTAGATCTGTGTGATGTGTTCTGCAGTAAGCTTGGGCATCCTTCCATGCTAGCCCGATTTGATATAGAAAAAATTTTTTCTGGCCTGGAGGATTTGTAGCTACAATAGAAAAAAAGAGTAAAGCGAGTGTTAGAAGATGGTAGTGTTTTCAATCCTAAAACTCAACTATATAGAGCTGGGAAGATATCAATACTGTACACAGCTTTATATCCTAATTTTAGTTCAATAAGGTGGAGTATTTCTTCCACCACTGACTGCAAAGAATCTGCTCAACTCCTGTTGCTGTGGTGATGTAGAAGTGGACTATAGGGTGTGTCAGTACACTGTGACATCACTGAGGGGAGTGATTACAGGTGCAATCTAGCACACCCAAACAAACTGGAAACTTTCAACCAGAAAGGGCAGTCATACACTGCTTTTCCGCTAGCAGTTACTCTTTAAATCAAGAAATGCAAAATTAGTCTTACCATTGTAACAAATGAAATATAATGTCAAGTCACAGGGTGAATCTTTCCATGTTCCTTCACCGTTTATCACCACACAGGCAAAATCTCTGAGATTTTTGCTTTGCAGACCTGGTTGCCAGTTGTAGTAACCAGTTTTGCTCGTATCACCAGTCGCTGACCATCTCCAGGAGTTTGTGTCATCCCTCAGTCCGATCCACAACAATGAGGTATCTGAACTGGGTCTGTTTAGCCTGCTCACATCATCTATGCTTTCAATGGTCGCCAGGTCGGTGTGTTTCACTCTGCAGTAATGCTGAGCGTCGGTCCAGTTCATTTTCAAGCTGACATAGTGGTACTCAGGAAGGATGGCGTGAGAGCAGGAACTGAGGCCAAATCCTTAAGGGTAAAAAATAGAGGGCAAAAATGTTTGAACAAGTTACATATAATTTATTTATGTAATTTAATCACAAAATAAATGTAACTGTAATCCGTTACAGTTACAAGGAAAAAATTTGTAATTAAGGTACTTATAAAAATGTTCATGATTACACTGGGGGATACATCTGAATAATTTCTGTAAAAAGCTAGGCTATATGTTGAATAATATTAAATGTCCAGTGTGTAATATTTCTGAGGATTTATTAATAGAAATGCAATATAATATCCATAAATATGTTTTTAGTGGTTTATAAAGACCTTATATAATTAACAGTTTTATGTTTTTATTACCTTAGAATGAGCCATTTCTGTCTACATTACTGATGAAGCCAGACAAAGTCGGGACAGATGCAGACAGATGATGTCAGAAATAAAGGATATAATGGCCATAATCACATAGAGAAGAGAAGTGAGGTGTTTTTCCAGCCAATGTTGTAAAATATATAATTGGATTGTAATGTGTTATTATGGGTATTTTGTGTGTTTTGGCTTTGCTACGTTGACATAAATGTGCCCCTTACGTGTGACAATCAGCTGATTATTGAGTGAGGAGCTTTTGGCAATTTGTTGCAATTCGCAACCCTCATCACTAAATGTCACTGAAACTTATACACTTAACCTTTATTTCGTTGCTTTACATGTTTTTCATTTGCACAACGTCTTCCTTTGGCATTTTCAGCCACAGCTGTTTAGTTAAGTTTGATGCTATTCTGATGCTTTGATTGGTTCTCGTGTTTGAATTTGCCGCACCACCCATCTGCCAGTTAAATTGCCTCTAAAGAAATTTAGAAAATAAATCAAAAAGTAATTAAATGTAGTAAGTTGCATTATGTAAATAAACAAATTGAAATAGTTACATTACTGTTACATTATAAATAGGCTAACTTTTAGTCAGCAACCTAAGAGGTAAAATGTCCATGTGGGTGCTGTCTCTAAATTTGAGAAAATAATTTGTTGGGTAGGGGGCAGGTGGATGATTTATGCGTTCATGAGTATTCAAATAATTTCAGAGCCTATCCGTGCATCACACCAGTTTCTCTCATCAGCCGTGCAGATTTCTGGCATTTACTCCTCACCTGCAACTTATTCCTTCATCAGCCATCCACCATATACCAGTTCACCTGCCTGTAAGCTTATTTTTGCACAATAAATTGTTGAACTACACCATGTCCCACCATGTTGTGCAACTCTTACCAAAGAGGACAGAAATTAAAAGCACTGCACAATCCATTTCTGGTTTCACTGAAATGTAAGAGAAAAAATAAAATGAGAAAAGCATTAAAAACAAAGGACAGCAGACAATAAAGCAAAAAAAAAAATCCACCTTAAAATAATTACAGGCAAGATATGTTACATTTTGATGGAAGGTATAGTTTGGGAATTTTGAAGTGGGGCTGTAATGAGATACTTATCCACAGTCAGTGTATTACCTGCAGTAGAAGGCACTCGGTGCCTCCCCAGTTTGGAGAAGCAGCAAGTTGTACCAGGACGGAAGCTAAACAATTCACTGCTGTGCACAAAGTCAGTTGCTAAAGGTATTTTAGCAACCTAAAAGAAGGCCCACCGAAAAAATCAATATCAGTTCATTACGCTATTTTCAGAATATTTCCAGCTCTTACCTTGCCCTCAGACGGTGTGCAGCTAAGTTTCACTTATTCATAGGAATGCTTAAGTTCTAAAGTTGAGAAAAAAGTTCAAATTAAAAGGCTGTCTGATAGCAGGGTAGATTCTAAATATAGCGCACACTTTAACAGATTGATTTATTTTTTTCTCTGGGCGTTGTACATTTTGCAGCTGACTGTCCACTGCAGTACGTGTCTGTGCCAGTCCAACTTTCTGTATTTTCAAACTGGGGACGCTCCAACCGCCACCTACTGCAGGTAATACGCTGATTATGGATAAGTACCTCATACAGCCCCACTTCAAAAATCTCAAACTATCCCTTTATGCTTTACCATAGTTTCAAGACTTGGGCCAATATTTATAAAATAATTGCTATGTACATATTATATAAATTGTAAATAATAAATGTAACATTGCTTCTTGGCTTTGTGAAAGGCACTTTAAAAAAAACTAAAATGACTGAAGGTGAATTGTATGTAGAAGATTCATATTTGAACATCTGAAGTTGTTAAAATGTATATAATGATTAGTGCAATAGTACTAAAGGCAAAATAATAATAATAATAAATATATAATAATAATAATAATATATACTCACATGTATAAAATCCAGTATTTAAGTTGCTGGCAGCAAATCATCCAAACTTGAAATCGCTCATATCAGCAGGGAAATGTCTGCTCACCTGTCTGATAAGCACCCAGTGCTGTGCTGCATTTTAACACGTGCATATTTAAATATCCAAATGAAGAAGCTGATAAAGGTCACCTTGGTTTGTACTTTAATTAACCATGATGTTTGGTCACAGTTAAATGTTTTTTGTTTTCATCATCTGGAGGTATAGAACCAGAACCTGAACATCACCTTCATCACCAAAAAGGCCCAGCAGAGGATGTACTTCCTGCGGCAGCTGAAGAAGTTCAGCCTACCAAAGACAATGATGGCGCACTTCTACACCGCCGTCATCAAGTCCATCCTCACCTCCTCCATCACCATCTGGTACGCCTTCTCCACTGCCAGAGACAAGGGCAGGCTGCAGCATATCATTCGCTCTGCAGAGAAGGAGATTGGCTGCAATCTTCCTTCTCTTCTGGACATGTACGCTTCCAGGACTCTGAGGCGAGCAGGAAAGATCGCAGCTGAAACCAACCTCTAAGTGTCTTATGCTACGTTCAGACTGCAGGCCTTAATGCTCAATTGCGAATTTTTCCCAGATCCGATATTTTTTGTTTGACAGTTCACATTATTGCCTCAATGTGGCCCATATCAGACTCCTGTGTGAACTGTCCGCGGCCTGAAAGTGACCCGCATGCGCAGAAGAATAACACGACGTCACACGCAGCACGCTGTTGCAGGCTACAGAAGTAAAGCAGGAGCAAGATAGCTCGGGTTAGCTCGCGGGGGACTCCCGTTTTTCATTGTCTTCTCACGGGTCACATTTCTCCCGAATTATGACAAGTGTTCAAAACTTTATGTTATTTACGGTTTCTGGCGCTGGACAACGCATCTGCCCCATAACTCCCTCCCTCCTGTGGGTCACATTGGCCTGCAGTAGTGTAGAGTCAAACCGCTGCAAGCCTCCAGAACAGCTTCAGTGCTCCTTACCAAGTCTGTGGAACTATCCGAGGGTTGAACACCATTACTCCACAAACAATTCCCTTACTTATCTACCACATTTATTTAATCAGGTACTCCAATGAGATGAAAATCTCTGTGGGAGAGATCTTAGTAAGGCAGATAGAAAGAAAAACAAGCATAGCGTAAATGTGTTATAGCTTCACATTAAATGGATGTTAATTGGCAATAACAGACAGCCCTAAATTAAATCAGAATCACAAGTTTTTTGCCAAGTTAGTTTTCACATACAAGGACATATCCAAATAGACATAGTAAGTGAAAAGACACATTTGAATACGCAAATGAGGTATCTTGAATATGCAAATGAGGTATCTTTCAAAGGTCACCTTGATTGGCACCTGTGTGGTGCCAATCAGTGTGGTCAATGATGAGTAGAATGTATTGTAATTGTAATGTAATGTCTCTTTTTGTTTTCTGAGTTTGAAGGACTATAATCTATAGTAATATTAAAGTGTTTTAACTTGCATCACATTTGAGTCCTCCTAAAAGCTTAGGACAAATTGTTGTGAGAATATTATGTGTTACGTTAAGCTAGTGAGCTGAATGCAGGAAACATGGGTTTAGGGCCCAGATGCAGATACAGGAGCGGAGCGGGTGAATTATAGATGTTTATTTGAACAAAAACCGTGAACCTGCAGAGCAAGAACAGTATTCCAAAAATCCATTTAATAAGAGAGACACAAGCAACACAGATGAGACACTGGAAACAACGCTGCGCTGTGATTATGCCACAAACATTGGTTTAGTATGAATGAGCGACTGTCTGCCCCCCTGTCCGGCCCGGTGACAAATTAATACATAATTAAATAAATAATAAAACAGACAAAGGAGTATATTAATACTCTCTTGTTAAAGTAAAATCTGTCTGGCACAATATGGTATCCAGGTCATCATACTCTATACCAGGCTGCTGGGCAGGACAGGTTTTAAAAAAATAAAATTTGGCAAATATGCTATTTATATATAAAATACCATTTGCAAGAATTTAAAATTGCTATCCAAAATGTAAAAGTAGAGTTTCCAGCTGAAGTTAATCCAAAAAATACAGATACTTTAAGGTACTTTCTCTTATGCAAATTATTGTGACTCAGTGTGTTATAGTTGTGGAAAGATTTATTAGTGGTATAAGACAAGAGAGGAATTGCACCCAATACAGTTGTTATGATTCTTATTCCAGTTCGAGCTTGTCCAAAGAATAATGTTTGTCTGCAGGCAAGTATAACAAAACCCATACTTTAAAACTTTAAAAAAAAGAAAAAAACATTTTTATAGCCACATTCAAAACCTCAAGTTTAGGCATGCACAAATAAAAAGCAAAATATCCCAGAGATTGCAACAATGGGCTCTCACGTTATGAGCTCCTGATTTTTCTGTGCCAGTTCCTCCTTCCTCCCCTGTCTCATCTTTCTCTAACTCCCGAGATGCGTTGGAGTCTCATTCCAAAGCATCTCTCTGTTTCTCTCTCCTCAGTTTGCTCACTATCTGTCTCTCCCCTCTTTCAAGACTGATAACTTTAGATATCCTAATTTTAACCAGTGTATATCTGGATGAATTAACTGCTTCAGCTAGTTGGCTGCCACAAGCAAGGCAAGTAAAAACAGTCTGGCCAGCAGGAGCTGTGTATTTTGGTAGGGTGACCATATTCTGGGTTTCAAAAAAAGAGGACAGAGGGGGCAGGAGACGGACACCCGCAGTGAGTGGAAGGTTTGGGCTGGGGGAGATTCAAGAAATTGGTGGCACTGTGTCAATGTATATGGGGGGGTGATAATCATGCAGCTATATTCTTGAACTTGAAGGCCTACATGTGGGCTTCTGTAGATTGCATGCCCCTTTTTGCTTCACACACATAATTGATATTAAAACAATAATTTTAGTAAAGCAGAATAAGGGGAACATATCGCTCTCAAGAAGAGAGGCGGCAAGAAGAAGCACATATTCACATAGCATTAATAGCATCCTGGCTCTGGCTAAATCTGTATTTGTCCACTGGCACTATCCACCTGGTGGAGTAACTAGTATAAATTAGTGTATTGAAGGATCTGGGCGTAATACCTCCTCCAATCACACGCACACACTTGCCCACTGAAATTTTATCGTGCACGTAGCCGACCAATAGGACGTCGCTACCGATACGTGCGTGACGTATAAATAGCAGCTGGTATAATGAACTAGCCAAAGGAGGAAATAGAGGCCACTGATATCAAGACAAGAAAGCTCATCACAAAAAACATGACTGTACACTAAGCAGAGCGAGGGACACCAAGGGCTAGTGAGTGTCAAGATCACTGTCCAGGTTGAAACAACAAAGATCCAGAGTACATCAGTACATTATATTTTATACATACATGTGTACAAAATAATATGAATGCAACAACTGTATGGAGTTGTGTTTTGTTTAGTTTGGGTTGCAGGTAGTGAGTCGCTGTCTTGGTGGTTTTCTTTTCCTTGTTTTGTTTTGTTCTGATGGTCTGGCTTAGCATGCTGCGTGTGGGATAAACTTGCCCCTAGTACATCGACTGTGAGCTCCCCTTGCGCTGGGTTAACATATCTGCTGGTCATTATATTAACTGCATGTCAGCTAGTGTGTGTTTATGGGCTCATTGATATCGCAGCCCACCTGTCTCTTTGTGCTTCACATTGTTTTAATACCTATTTTTTGATTAATAATCCTAGTCTTCCTATTTGCTCCATAAAATCAACAATATTCCTCGTTAAGGGCACCACCAGAGTTCTTGTAAACCTAGAGTCTCCGGACCTCTAGGTAGTTTTGAATAATTATACAACTATTACTAGTGATCAGTTACTTAATAATCGCTCAATTATCTTAAATCAATCAGTCAGTCTCATATCTAAAGGGTCAATTCTCTTGGCAGGGACGTAGAAATAGGCAACACACACAGTTCTCGATTATATTACAGTGAATTTATTCTCTAACGAATGTGATATAAAAGGGTAAATAAACAATGGCGGCACAATGAGCCTGGAGGTTCGATTGTGGGAAGCATTTGACTCATATAGCATAGAAGAACTAATAAAAGTAAGCTAACGCTATGAGTTTAGTTAAAAGGCAATCTCTGACCACAGAATGTGTGTTAGGTCTTACTGCTTATCGATGGCCTGCTTTGGCCTGTTGCACGGGTCCCACGCTAGCTGCCGATTATGGCTTTTTGCTAGGGATTCACGTCACGTCAAAAATAATCTCACATTTAAAAGCATCACAACATCCCCTCTCCTTTTACTGACCCTGTATCCTCAACATTTCATAGCCCTCTAATCCATACTGCAGTTCATTATCACCACTCAGCCAGGAAATTGCTATTACACTAATGTTTTTCTTATACCCTTAAAGGTAATCTTTAATTTTGGAAAATGTACTGTAGAGACTTCTATTCAAGGGAATCACAGAAAAATTCTAAATTTTCACGTTGGAATTAAATTTATCTTCAGAATAAGATTCACAATTTGTCTTGATCTGTTCTGGTAGAAGTGGATCTTTGGGTCAATGTCATTTTCTAAGTCATAAAGTTTGTGATCTTGAAAGTAAAAAGAAAGACTTCTGTGGATTCTTACTAATACCATTTTCTTTATCCACAAACAATGTTTCACCTTAGATTTCAAAACAGCAAAAGAAGGGATAAAAGTATGACATTTCCCTACTATTCCATTCTCTACCTTTTTCCTTTTTATCTCTGATGTCTATGACTTTACCCGGTTCTGGTGCTAGATCAAAAATAGTATCATTCTCACTTACGGACAATTTCATACTATCATGCATACTCCACAATATTCTTTATAGTAGTGAAGAATGATATTGTTTACATAAGAAAATTGTAGTTTGTGTGTGGGAGTAATTATAGTAGTGTGTTTAAGTGAGGATAGTAGTGTAGTGTATGTGAGAGAAAATTAGTTACTTAGTTTGATCAAACTGGCAGATGGTTTATATTATCATTCACTGATTGGCTTACATCCTTGAAAACAAAGCCTGCACACTGTCAGACCACTTGTAGCTAAATTGTAGCTATATGGAACATTTAAATCAAGAGAAGCACGTTAAAGGAAAAGTTTACAGCTTTGTTAGAGCGGAAGCAAGATAGTCATGAGACTCCTACTTATTTACCTCCTTTTTTAAAGTCTATTTTTGCTCATGAACGTAAATGGTAATGAGGAGGACATAACTATTTTTAATACTTATACAATGAGGTGTGTTGAGAACATTGTAAGGGAAAGTGACAGTATGGGACATGAGATCATGACGCACTTACAATTTCTTTCTGTGACAGTCATGGACGTTTAGGTGCACGGGAAGCACTGTGTACATGTTTTTGTTCCATCATAAATTCATAT